AGAGCGGTTTTTCTCTGGTTTAACGCAGACCCGAGTCAGACCAAAGTGGAACTGGGAATGTGCCTGGAGAGTCCAGCAGATGTAAACTTGTACGCTGTATGCATGAACCTTGTGTTCTTTACTTTCCACATGTAAGGAATAAACAACATACTGTAGTAGAAATTAGCATGCAGGAGTAAGAATATAGGATTTTTTTGTGACAGGATTTCAAGCTTTGAAAGGCAACTATTTGACACAAACGTCAAACAAACAAACATGATCTTTTTTTTTTCTACCTTACGTGTTTATAATCTCAGTATACAGATTGTATATATGTAAACATTTGATAATGTCAAAAGTAGCTGTTATACATAAGTGTATTTTGCCAAATGCCTAAAGAAACAGTCATGACTAACATCATCACACTTCAGATTTTCTAATATTACGAGCAGACGACTTTGGAAATACAGAAAGTACAGTACTGTAAAACCGTGTCTCTCAGAAACTGGTGTTTGACCAAAATCTATACTATCTTTTCAGTATCCTATACTGTCTTGACAATCTCAATTGTATGGTAGACTGCAGAAACCAGTACAGGAGCACTTTGTCTTAAACCTTCGTAACAGGAACCAGCCAAAATCCGTTGTTCAGTGAGATGACTGGTGCATCCTCTCACAGGTGTAATCAGGAATGATTTGGCAGACATCAGACAGAGCCTTTAAGTAAAGTGCAGTCCAAACTTATTGGACATTTGGGAATACTTCTAAGTAGACAATTCAGGATGTGGTGATGTGAAGTCCTCCTGGTGAGAGTGGCTGTGTATTTTTGATAGAGCATTTCAGACACTGTTTTAGATGGCAAGGCGTAGCTTATGAGAAGCATAAGGATTTCACTGCACTAGGTAATAGCAGTGCTGGGCAAGTGGCCAGTTTCATTGCTGTCTCTTAATTTTTGTTACTGGAATCGCCTTTACCATGTGCTTGAATTGCTACGCTTGCAGCCCCTGAAGCCTCCTTGACAATTTTTGGGGGCATTAAACTGAGTACAAGTGAGTTTAGCCTAAAAATCTGGGGTGAAGGTGAACAAATCCTTTAGTATGGAGATCTTAATCTTATGTATAGGGTTAGATTTCTAACACCTGAGACTTCTAAAGGTTGTAAAAAAAAAAAAAAGTCTTTTGGGAATTTTCAGTCAGTAAGAAACTGGATCATACTAAATCAGTTTATATTTCTCCAGCTTTCCAAAATTGACTAATTCTTAGCTTCAGGTAGTACCATTGCAGAGTAAAACACCCAGTTCTGTGTGGTGCAGCTGAATACCTTGCCCAACAGCTGCATGATCAATTAGATATTATTGTGACGGGAACATCTACGGTGTTTCTGAATCTTCTACCTCTTTCATGTATTTCCTTTAATAAGTGAACCCAACACTTGCAGCCTTTTAATCTATTTTTTTAACTTCTTAGTCTCTCAATAAAGTCTAATATATGTAAGATTAAATTAAGAAATGTTTAAAGATGTCAGCAACTGTAAAGTATGTAAGATTTTTAGAAACACTATATTTTATGATTGGGCTGTGTGTTGGATTATGACAAAATATTGACCTTGGAATTCAAATGTTTTTCCTTTAGAGTTGACAGGTTCTGGTAAGTATTTTGGATAAAGACAAATACGAGTAAGTGCAAGTGGATGCAGACAAAACATGTGGAGGGAGCCGGTCACTTGTAACTGCTTTAGGAAAAGATTCTGCACTTTCATGAAGAGTACATATCTGTCAGCACTGAAAAATATTTTTTGCAAATAATTGAGTGTAGGTAAATGGTTAAAAGATAGTTGGTAGTGGATAGCTCATGAAATTAGGGCCTGAGGCATAATCACTTGAAATCAATAAGTCTTTTATTGATTTCACTGGACTTTGAGCAGGACCCTCAAGGAGTTCACCTGCGTTAGGACATTGTGGTAACCCAGTAGCCTCTGTGTTATGCTGTCTCCAGGAAGCTGGTTTTCCCTCACATATTAGTATCTTGTCTTTAGTAACTGGACTGTTCATCATGTGCCTTTTATGGTATTTTCTTTGGATACAAACTGGCATGTAGTTTTGAATAATCCTGTTATATTTCTGTGCATATTTTATGTTTACCACCGTTTACTCTTCCCTTTCCATTTTGCCTTATCAAGAAGCAGCAAAATTTGGCAGACTGAACTGGATATAACATACTGACTCTTTGTGTAATGTTCATAGCTTCTTGTTTTGCAGACAGACGGCTCTCCTGACTGTATTTTCAATGTAGTATGTACTTTCAACTTCTCTCTTGTTTTGATATAATTCATTTGTAGCATATGATGATACAGTTACGTGTGTAGTGTAGCTTTTAACAGTCACTTTCACATTTGAAGATACATAGTGATTGGAAGACTAGTTATGAGCACTAAGTTTAAGTTAAATAAATATTGACTTTCACTTTGAGTGAGAACATCACAGGACTTGGGTTGGTAACTTTTAGACCTTGTCATTGCACAAAACCTGAACTGGTAGGGCTGTGTGAGCCTCCAAAGCCAGCAGAGGTCAACGAGAGAAGTTGTTTGCTTACATTCTCTGGTTTTCTACTTCTAAAATGTAGTGTGTTGGAAAGCTGCCAGATTAATAACCTTGAAGATTGCAAATATTTGTATCCACTGTAGTTAGTTACACTGGTGAGAGCAATATAATTTGCCATGTAATACCTCATCTAGCCTAGAGTACTTGTATTGTCAACAGGATAGCTCAGTTATTTTGACTCATTGAGACTCATGCTTTTACTTTGCTTTTATTTTAATAAATGAACTAGTTACTTCCAGCTATGCTGTAGATGCCTGTTGAAGTGGGGAGGTTATCAGATCTTCTCAATACATTACAAGTAATTGTCTATATGAGCATAGGACCTGCAGGATGAGGGTTATGTATTTCAATGTGGGAGAAGAGTTTTGTATAATTTAAAATAAAATTAATATGACTAACTGATGGAGACTGGAATAATAGATTGTATCCAAATAATGCTGCTGCAGAATGATTCCATGGTTTAACGAGTAAAAATTCACCTGCCGATTCTGAATTTGTTGACATAAGAACTTCAGTAATCCATACTACAGACTTTTGGTGAATATACTCAGGCAGTTTACCAGAAATTGTTGTGATTGATAATTTAAATATAATTCTGTTATAGTTAAATAAGTAGTTTTAAAGAGGTTATTAATTTTATACAGCATATCTTTGCGTAAGTTGTGAACTTAAGTCACTACTTGCCAGTCATCTGAAGATAGCTACTTCCAAATGACTTAAGAGTTTTGTTCCTGATTGATGAGCTGTCGAACCTGCTGAGCTGATGTACTCAACAGGTAATTTTGATTGTGCTAATGAACAAATAGACCTTTGGGTTATAGCCTGAATTAAAATCAGAAAGAAACACTGTCAGAAGCTAGTGGACTGAAGTCCTCTTACGTGAATCCCTATCGCTGGTTTTAAATGAATCGAGTGGTCTTGTCAACACCAATGTCACAACTGTTTTCAGATCCAGGGGTAAGAAGTGGTGCGTTCACTATTACAGACATGCACGTGCTACACATTCTGACCAAATCTGCAGTTACTTCATTGCTTAACGAATAGGACAGGATGTAATGTGGTGAGACTCTGTAATCCTATGGGATAACAGGTTAGCTCTTAGGACTTGCTCTGCCATCAAATCTCATATCCAGTTCTTGTAAGCAAACTTGCCAAACTTCCGTGTAGAACTCAGCAAGCTCCTGTTCTCTTCTGTCCCTTTTCCGCTCCTACTGAAAAGCATTTCCATGAATGATAATTACATCCACTAACAGTCTCTTCTGTTGGTTGGCTAAGATCAAAAAGCCAAGTTGCCTTTCCACACAATCTTCTGGATAAGGTTTTTCCAGTGCTGTTAATACATCTTTTGCTCTTGCTACAGGGCAAGAGCCACATGTCTCACGTGCACTTTGCACTGGTAAAACCATTCGGTGGCTCAGCCATCCATGTCTTTCTTGCCCTCTAGCATTGATGAAGGCTAAGCCTCTTTAGTCACTGACTCTGTGAACCTAGAAGTTGTGCTGTGTCCTATTTCTCTTGCTCCAAGTTTAAAGATCATCCATGTCTTTCTCTACGTTACTTAGGTATTTGTATCATCAGCGGACTGTTTGAGCTGCTGTCATCAGTCACAGCGTGACGTTATTTACCTCATTTTTAAAGAGCTTGAGCATTCTTGTCTCTGAAGCCAATATTTTGTCCAGGATGGATTACCCATCAGACTGCTAAGCTGATGACTCACTATTTGCATGGCTTCCAAACCACATGGGACATCAGCAATATGGGATTTAACCTTGACAAATTTCCTGAAGAGAAACATGAGTAAACTGCAGACATACGTAGTTTGTCATCTTGTGACAGTGTGGCAGGGTAATGTTCTGCATGCACGTAACTATTATCCTAATAGAGCAGGAAAAAAATGAAACAGTGCAACTCAGTGTATAGACATAGTTGCAATACAGATGGGACTCTTAAGTGTGATTTCAACAGGAAATTAATGCCTCCTATCATCTACACTAAAAAACACTCTCTTGACCCAAGTATTTTCCAAGTCAGCTTACCAAAAATGTTTCTGGTGCCTCAAGTATGGATGC